TGGCAGGCACTGGGCCAGGGCCAGGGGCCCAATCGGAGCCAGTGGGCAGCAGTCATGTGGCAAAACTGCCGCTTGAATTAGAGGCTGGCCTGTTTGGCAAACACCAGGCACCTTGTGTGTGAGTTGAGGCCACATGTGGGGCTGGTCTTTCCCAGGAGGCATCTGGGCTTTACCCTGTATGCAGAAGCTCATCTAGCAGATTCTGATGTGAGGGAAGGGCACAAGGAGGTCATCTTTTCCCCACCTCAGCTTGAAGCAGGCACCGCTTCGCTGTAGGCTCCTTGAAAGGGCACCCAGGCATCTCTCTCCACAGCTGGCACTATTCTGCTATGCAATCTAGAAGTCAGTCTAGGGTTTGGCCTGAGGTTTTAGATGTTGGGGCCTTCCATTTGGGGAAGCAGGAGAGGAGGCACCCCAGAGAATGGAGCCCAAGCCAGGCCAGGAGGATGGGGTTCGGGTGGAGGCTGGAAGGGCTGAGGGCTTACCCTTCTCTGTTTTCTGTGTTTGCCTGGGGCAGATGCAAATCAGAGTGTGGTTTAGAACAGGGAAAGGACAGGTACAGCAGCTTATACCTGTAATCCTAGCACTTTGGAAGGCTGAGGCTGGAGGATCACTTGAGGCCAGGAGTTCAAGACCAGCCTGAGCAACATAACAAGACTTTGTCTCTTTAAAAAAAAAAAAAAAAAAATATGTATATATATATATATATATATATATATATAGGATGCAGTGGCATGTGCCTGTAGTCCCAGCTACTTGGGTGTCTGAGGCAGGAGGACTGCTTGAGCTCAGGAGTCTGAGGCTGCAGTGAGCTATGATGGTGCCAGTACACTCTGGCCCTGGGTGGCAGAGTGAGACCATGTCTCTAAAAAAAAGAGAGAGAAGGCTGGTCACGGTGGCTCATGCCTGTAATCCCAGCACTTTGGGAGGCTGAGGTGGATGGATCACGAGGTCAAGAGATGGAGACTAGCCTGGCCAACGTGGTGAAACCCCATCTCTAATAAAAATACAAAAATTAGCTGGGCGTGGTGGCACACACCTGTAGTCCCAGCTACTCGGGAAGCTGAGGCAGGAGAATCTCTTGAATCCAGGAGGTGGAGGTTGCAGTGAGCCGAGATGGCACCACTGCACTCCAGCCTGGCAACAGAGCAAGACTCCATTAAAAAAAAGAGAGAGAGAGAGAGAGAGAGAGAGAGAGAGAGAGAGAACTTACTGTCATACTGTCCAACACTAAGACATAGTACATAAATGCATATAGTGGAAAATCATGCAGCTGTTAAATGATGATGCAGACAAGTATTTATTGATATAGAAAGATGTTCACAACATATTGTTGGGTGAGAAAAGCAAATTACAAAATAATTTGTACAGCATGAGCCCATTTTCAAAAAAATGAGTTTGTGTGGAAAAATCTGATCGTGTTTATCTCCAGGTGGCAAAATGATGGCTAATCACATTTTTTGTGTGTTGCTTATCTATAGTTTCTGACTTTTCTACAATGAATATTTAATTTAAAAAGACAAGGAAAGTTTAGAAAACCACCATGACCGAATCTGTCTTCTCCTTGGTTCTCTGTGCAGACATCTTTATATAGTTAAGGGTTGGTCAGACGTGATCGATGTGTATCAGTTGTTCAGGTCATGCCTGTAATCATAGCACTTCAAGAGGAAGAGGTAGGAGGGCTGCTTGAGCCCAGGAGTTCGAGACCAACCTGGGCAACACGGTGAAACTTCATCTTTACTAAAATACAAAAATGAGCTGGGCACAGCAGTACGTGCCTGTGGTCCCAGCTACTCGGGAGGCTGAGGTGGGTGGATCGCTTGAGCCAGAGAAGTCAAGGCTGCAGTGAACTGTGATGCCACCACTGCACTCTGGCCTGGGCAACAGGCCAAGACCCTGTCTCAAAAAACAAAAACAAGATAGTTAAGGGCTCAGTGTGAGGACGGTTCTGAGGGTTGAGAGAGGGCAGAAGATGCACCTGGGCCTGTGACAGGGACCCACGGAGGTGGCAGATGGCGAAGGCTAGGGGACTCCAACTGCTGATGCTGAAACACGCTAGTGTCTCACATACACAGGGACAATTCGTGAGCACCTCCTGTTCGTCACATCTTTTCTCTCCAGGACAGCTTTGCCCTCATTTTAACAAGACTTCCTTTGAACCAAAAGGGAAGGCTGCACACTGTGACTTGCTAGGCGGCCTGGGAAGGCGGGCCACTCCCAGCCACAGAGATGAGAGTTGAGATAGGAGCTCATCCCCAGTCTTGCTCTTCCTTTTCTATTTTGTTTGCTTATTTGTTTGTTTGTTTGTTTATTGAGACAGAGCCTCACTCTGTCTCCCAGGCTGGGGTGCAGTGACATGATCTTGGCTCACTGCAGTCTCCACCTCCTGGGCTCAGGTGATCCTCCCACCGCAGCCTCCCGAATAGCTGGGACCACAGGAGTGCACCACCACACCTGGCTAATTCTTTATATTTTTCGTACAGATGAGTTTTCAGCACATTACCTAGGCTGGTCTCAAACTCCTGGACTCCAGCAATCCGCCCACCTTGGCTTCCCAAAGTGCTTGGATTACAGTCGTGAGCCACCGTGCCCAGCCTTGCTCTTCCTTTAAAGCCTCTTGTCCTTCCCCAGGTCCCCAATTCATAGCAGGATCAAAGGTCATTGGGCGCCCGCCCCATCTTCAAGATTCCCCTCCCTGTGTCAGTGCTCAGGGCCAAGGTCAGATGTGACTAGAGCCTCAGGGGCTGTCACCTCCCTCTCTGTGCTGGGACTCACAGAGGGAGATCTCAGCAAGCCGTCTGTCCATCACATGGGCAGACCATGGGCTGGACGCAGTGGCACACACCTGTAATCCCAGGAATTTGGGAGGCTGATGTGGGAAGATCACTTGAGCCCAGGAATTCTAGACCAGCCTGAGCAACATGGCAAGACCCTATCTCTACAAAAAAAAATTTAAAAATTAGCCAGGTGTTGGCCAGGCGCGGTGGCTCACGCCTGTAATCCAAGCACTTTGGAGGCCAAGGCGGGAGGATCACCTGAGGTCGGGAGTTCAAGACCAGCCTGACCAACATGATGAAACCCCGTCTTTACTAATTAAAAAAAAAAATTTAGCCAGGTGTGGTGATGCATGCCTATAGTCCCAGCCACTCAGGATGCTGAGGTGGGAGGATCCCTTGAGCCTGGGAGGTTGAGGCTACAGTGAGTCGTGGTTTTGTCACTGCACTTGAGCCTGGGCGACAGTGAGATCCTGTCTCAAAGGAACAACAACAGCAACAACAACAACAAAGAACATATCCTGATGCGGAGTAGGGGACTTTGCTCTGACAGAGGCTCGGGGGCCTGAGCTGGCTCTGTGAGCTGGGGAAGAGGCGGCCAGCCAGGCCTTGTCTGCAAGCAGGAGACCTGGCAGCGCTGGCTTGGCTGCCCCCCAGGGCCTCCTCTTCGTGCCCACTGAATGACTCACCTTGGCACAGACACAATGGTCAGGGGTGGGCACACTGCCTGCTTCCCGCCGCACCCCAGCCCCCCTCAGATGCTTTCCGAGAAGCCCATTGAGCAGGGGGCTTACATTGCACCCCGGCCTGACAGCCTGGCATCTTGGGATAAAGGCAGCACAGCCCCCTAGGGGCTGCCCTTGCTGTGTGGCGCCACTGGCAGTGGAGAACAAGGCTCTATTCAGCAAGTGCCCGGGAAAGGGGATCAGAGGAGGTCCAGGCATGGACAGTGGGTGGCAGCGGGGAGAGGAGGGCTGTCTGCTTCCCAGAAGTACAAGGACACAAACGGGTGAGGGGCCTGGGCAGGGTTCTGACCCTGTGGGACCAGAGTGGAAAACATCGATGAACCTGAAGTCTCCAGGGACAACAGGGCCCAGGTCTCAGGCTCCCAGTTGGACCCAGTGGCTCCTGCTTTCCCAAACCCATCCATCCCGAGAGGTCCTTCCCATCTCCACAGCCTGATGTGTGGGAACCCGAGGAGATAAATCTCCAGTGGGAGACGGAGGAGTGGCCGGGGAAACAGGAGCAAAGAAGCAAAGATTCGAGCTGGCACAGCCAGCTCATGCGTAACTGCTTTGTGGAGCTGTCAAGGCCCAGGCTCTGGGAGGGGGACGCAAGGAGGCCAGGCAAGGAAGGGGTGACCCGGAGGGACAGACCCAGGGACTAAAGTGCAGCCCAGGGACTGGGCTAGAGAGCACTGGCCCCTTCTTTCCCTATCAGGACCTCCACTGCCATACAGAGACCATGACTGACCTCAGACAAAGGGCTGGTGTCCAATCCCAGCCCCCAGCCCCAGAACTCCAGGGAATGAATGGGCAGAGAGCAGGAATGTGGGACATCTGTGTTTGAGGGGAGGAGTCCAGGTGTCTGCTGGGAATGGGGACTAGTCGGAAACTATGATATAGGTGCCCCTTGAGGATATGGAACAGGTTTGTTCTTCACCAAATTCCCAGTACCTTGCAGGCACTTACAGCTGAGTGACAGCAGGCCTGGGTTATGAAATCAAAAAGCTGGAAGGCAGGTCAGAGGTCATCTGGTACAGCCCTTGCTTTTTTTTTTTTTTTTTTTGAGACAGGGTCTCTCTCTGTTGCCCAGGCTGGAGTGGTGCAAACACAGCTCACTGCAGCCTCAACCTGCTGGGCTCAAGTAATCCTCTCACCTCAGCCTCCCAAAGTGCTGGGATTACAAGTATGATCCACCCCACCCTGCCCTGCCCTTTCTTTTTAATTGATGCATAATAATTGTAAGTATTCATTGTGGTCCAACCAACCCTTCTTGACCCACCTTCCTAGAGAGAGGGTCCTCTTGCCTCAGTGGTTAGGGCCCTGGGCCCATGGTCTGGCTCCAGGCACCACCTGCCTCATGCAGGAGTTGGCATGCCCAGGAAGCCCTGCCTCTGGGCACAGTGACCTCAATGGGGTGAGAGGAGCTCTCCCCATAGCTGGGCTGCGGCCCAACCCCACCCCCTCAGGCTATGCCGGGGGCGTTGCCAGGGGCAGCGGGCATTGCCAGCCCAGCCCACTCCTTCATAAAGCCCTCATGTCCCAGGAGCGAACAGAGCCAGAGCAGGATGGAGAGGAGACGCATCACCTCTGCTCGCCGCTCCTACGCCTCCCAGGGGGAGATGATGGTGGGGGGCCTGGCTTCCCGTCGTCTGGGTCCTGGCACCCGCCTCTCCCTGGCTCGAATGCCCCCTCCACTCCCGACTCGAGTGGACTTCTCCCTGGCCGGGGCACTCAATGCTGGCTTCAAGGAGACCCGGGCCAGTGAGCGGGCAGAGATGATGGAGCTCAATGACCGCTTTGCCAGCTACATCGAGAAGGTTCGCTTCCTGGAACAGCAAAACAAGGCGCTGGCTGCTGAGCTGAACCAGCTGCGAGCCAAGGAGCCCACCAAGCTGGCCGACGTCTACCAAGCTGAGCTGCGAGAGCTGCGGCTGCGGCTCGATCAACTCACCGCCAACAGCGCCCGGCTGGAGGTCGAGAGGGACAATCTGGCACAGGACCTGGGCACTGTGAGGCAGAAGTGAGAAGGGGATGGGGAAGGAGGGCCTTGTGAGCAGAGGGGGCTGAACCTGAAAGAGGGAGTCCCCGAGAAGTCTCAGGCAGGGGCCGAGCCTCCCTGCTCCCTGGGTCTCCCCACCTCTTGATGGGGCATTATCCTTGCCGCCACAGCATGATGAGAGGGACCAGAAAAAGGCCCAGGGCCCCAGGGATCTGATTCCCAAACACCTTCTGCCAGGGAGCCAGGGTCCCCTCAGCCTCCTCACTGGGGAAAGCAGTGCAGGAGCAGCTGGGCCCCCAGCAGCTGGGCCCTTGCGTTTTCACTTATGGCTGGGCCTTGTGACCGTGGGCAGTGAGTTCAGCTATTCGGAGCCTGGGTCTGTATAAAGGAGTTGGAAGGTGAGGTTGGCATCCATGAGGGAGACTGGATTCTGGGGTAAAGGAAGTGGGGAAAAGGGCAGGCAGGCCTGGGCGTAGAGCACAGGTGACAGCCTGCCACCAGCTTGTGAACCCCGTCAAGTCACTCTGACTTGCACAGCTATGAAGCAAAGCTCATAATAAAATTCATTTCAAAAGGTGGTTACCCGGGATCAAAGGAATCCCCAGGGGCATGGCACTTCACTGAGCTGGCAGGGCATGCCTGTATGCCTTCAAGTGCAGGAGGGTGTGTGTGTGTGTGTGTGTGTGCACGCGCACACGTGCGTGTGTATATGTGTGTGTGCAGTGTGTGTGTGTGCGCGTGCGTGTGTGTGGGTGTGTGTGCGCGCACGTGTGTGCACGTGTGTGCGTGTGCGTGTGTGTGTGTGTGTGCAGCAGTGAGTATATGTCAGCGGATGCGCCTCTGTGAGCAGGAACAGGTGCACCAACCCTGATAAGGCACCTTAGTAATGAATTAAGGCAAAAGCCTTAGACAGAGGCCTCATCCTCCAGACGAGGCCTCTGTCTAAGGCCCCCCATCCCTTACTCCTCCTGCTGCTCTGCTGGTCCTGGGTGCGGGTGGTCTTTATGACAGCTGCCTCCAGGGAGACTGGGGCAGAGATCCAAGTGTCCTCAGAAGAGCCTGGACCCAGGAATGTGTCCCCCCACTCCAGGCTCCAGGATGAAACCAACCTGAGGCTGGAAGCGGAGAACAACCTGGCTGCCTATAGACAGGTCAGGGAGGTGGAGGGAGGGGCAAGGGAGGGAGGAACGGGGTGGATGGCAACTCACCCAAACACAACCCCCAAGCTCAGCCCTCCAGAGCAATGTGCTGCTCCCCACTGCCCCAGAAGGAGGGGTAAGGCAAGGCTGAGGCATGGGGAAAAAGAGTCTGGGGCCCAAGTGGCCCTCTGCTCCTCACCCCTCCTGCCACTCCAGGAAGCAGATGAAGCCACCCTGGCCCGTCTGGATCTGGAGAGAAAGATTGAGTCGCTGGAGGAGGAGATCCGGTTCTTGAGGAAGATCCATGAGGAGGTGAGTCCAGGGCAGAGGGAGGAAAGCTCAACACAGAGATTGCAACTGAGAGAGGGACAGGCAGAGACAGAGAGGCTGAGAGTGAGAGAGACACTCAGAGAGAGGAGAGAAACAGACATTGGCAGATAGAGACAGAACACGAGAGAGAGAGAAAGGCACTAAGGGAAACAGAAAGAGACAAGAGAGCATTCTAACCCCTGGCTGAGGGGCAGGCAGAAGACACGATGCTGTGGGGAGCCCCAGCTGTGACCTGTACCCTGAGCCCTGGTTCCCCTTCTCTCACCCCGGCCAGGAGGTTCGGGAACTCCAGGAGCAGCTGGCCCGACAGCAGGTCCACGTGGAGTTGGACGTGGCCAAGCCAGACCTTACTGCAGCCCTGAAAGAGATCCGCACGCAGTACGAGGCAATGGCGTCCAGCAACATGCATGAAGCCGAGGAGTGGTATCGCTCCAAGGTAGCCTGTGTGGGCCAGCCTGCCTCCTCCAGGCAGCTCTCCTTGATCCATATGAGAGAGTGGGAGAAGCAGGGTGGAGGAAGCTGGGAGAATATTCTCTCTGGGTGACCGACCTTCACCAGAAAAGTGAGATGGCTTGCCCAGGGTCACACAGCCACTATGGCTTCCAAAAGTACCCATTACTATTATCGTTACTACTGCTGTTATATTATTGGTAGCTGATATTGTTCCATGCCAAGTCCTGTGCTTTTCATGGATTACCTTACTATGAAATAGGTGCAGTTCTTTGACAGATGAGAAAACTGAAGTCCAGAGAAGTTAACTAATTTGCTCAAAGCCACACAGCTCCTTAGTATCATTGGATTTCCAACTCTAGCCCATCTCACTTGGGAGCCTACATTCCATGCCTCTGCCAGTCTGTTTTGGGTGATTGAAGCTCTATTGTATGCCAGGCACCTCCCAGGACACAGAAAGGTGTCTGATCTGGAAGGTGTGATGTTGACGTGCACCCTAACACAGAGGCTGTAGAGAACACCACAGCTCAGAGCTTCTACGCAGTGTGGCATTTGGGCTAGGCAGGACAGGCAGGCTGCGGCCAGGAAGAGAAGAAAAGAGGACCATTCCTGGTGGTGGACAGAGCCTGGAGGCAGAAAAGCACAGAAGGCAGGGCCCCAAGATGCTGGCACCATCAGGGCACCTAGCTGAGGAGAGTGAGAAGCAGAGGCCACAGGCGTCTGAGCAGGATGAAGGTCCGATGGAGCTGGGAGAATCTCCCTGCAGGTGGGAGAGAAAGGGCTATTAGAACCCAGGGTGAGGCCAGGTGAGGTGGCTCACGCCTGTAATACCAACACTGGGAGCCCGTGGCAGGCAGATCACCTGAGGTCAGGAGTTCACGACCAGCCTGGCCAACATGGCGAAACCCCATCTCTACCAAAAATACAAATTTAGTCTGGCATGGTGTAATCCTAGCTACTTGGGAGACTGAGGTAGGAGAATTGCTTGAACCTGGGAGGCCGAGGTCACAGTGAGCTGAGATAGCCCCACTGCACTCCAGCCTGGGCGACAAGAGAGACACTCCATTTAAAAAAACAAATCAAAACAAAAACCCCAGCGCTCCGCTTGCTGGAACCCACTGTCCACTGTAGCAGACGACAGACATTCAGTCCCGCAGATGCAGCTGCCAGTGTGGAAGGTTCTGGATTCTGTGGCACTGTTCATGCATTTGCTGACCAGGTGTTGCGCTAGGTGCTGAGGTCCGGCAGCCACTAACCTGCCCGCATCCATGGGTCAAAGTCCCAGCCAGGGCCAACGTCCTGGGGTTGACTGGGGTCCTGGTCACCTCCCTGATTTCCCAAAGCCCGTGCCTGCCCATGGACCCACACAGCTCCGCTATATGTGTCCGCCAGCCGCCCTCAGCCTGTGGCTCCTATCCCCATCTAGTTTGCAGACCTGACGGACGCTGCTGCCCGCAACGCGGAGCTGCTCCGCCAGGCCAAGCACGAGGCTAACGACTATCGGCGCCAGCTGCAGTCCTTGACCTGCGACCTGGAGTCTCTGCGAGGCACGGTGAGCGCGGCCAGGACAGGACGGGGGTGAGGGAGAGGGGACGGCCACCCCAGGAGATGCTAGGGTAGAAGGGCCGGGGGCGCGGACCTGGGGCGAGGGCGGGGCTCGAACGTCACCCCGGGCTAGAGGTGGAGCCTGGGGCCGGGGGCGGGGCCTCGAAGCCTCACCGAGTCAAGTCGGGGCCCCGCGGGACCGGCCGGCTCCATCCCACAGAACGAGTCCCTGGAGAGGCAGATGCGCGAGCAGGAGGAGCGCCACGCGCGGGAGGCGGCCAGTTACCAGGAGGCGCTGGCGCGGCTGGAGGAAGAGGGGCAGAGCCTCAAGGACGAGATGGCCCGCCACTTGCAGGAGTACCAGGACCTGCTCAACGTCAAGCTGGCCCTGGACATCGAGATCGCCACCTACAGGAAGCTGCTGGAGGGCGAGGAGAACCGGTGAGCCCCGATCACAGCCCTGGGCAAGTCTCCCTGCCGCCCCGCCTCTCCGTAGAGCCCACTTTGCCCCCTTCAGGGCCTGAGGCTTTTTCAGCCTTGTGTCCAGCTCCCTTTCCACCTCAATGCCCAGTACAGCGCCTGCCTCGCACACAGCAGCCAGTCACTAGATGTCTGATGAATGAATGGATGGATGGATTCAACCAGTATTGATTAAGCCTCACCCTCCAAACTAAGAGGCTCACTCTCCACCCTCCCAGCAAAGACTGGACTCCTCACCTCACCCATGTCTTCTGCCTCCTTGGAACTTTCTTCACCACTCTCCCCTCCCTTTTCCGTCTTCCTTCAGATGAACGTGAAACCCTCACAGATAACACTCAAGCCCCTTGCAGACTTTTGGAGCTCCAGATAGCATGTTGGCTGCTGGGGAAAGCTGGGAGATAGAGTCAGACTTCCCTGGCAAGGAAAAGGGCGTTGAAGTTGTCATGATGGCCCTGGACCAGGACCCAGCCTAGGGTTGTCCCGGCCAGCCTGGGCATCCCTTTCCCTCTGCTTTCTTTCAGCATCACCATTCCTGTGCAGACCTTCTCCAACCTGCAGATCCGAGGTCAGTAGAGCAGGGCCTCATGGTAAGGGCGCTGGAGTCCTGCCCTCTCCTCCAGGCCCCGTAGGTTACTTCAGCCTGGGACTGAGGACCAGGGCAAAGGGATCCAGGTTCTCCCTGGGGCCCTTCATGACTCACTGCGGCGCTCTTGCCAGAGCCTACCATCCCAGGGCACTTCCAGGCAGGGCTGGCAGCCGCCCCTGTCCTGCTGGGCCCTGGGTCCCTCTTCCCCTCCCTGCACCCCATTCCACAGCCGAACTGGGTGAGATCTCAACGTCTGCCCTGTGTGCAGATCCCTGAGCAAGCACTGCCCTTCTGAGTGTTTTGTTTTTGTTTTTGTTTTTTTAACTGCTTGTCACTACAGGGGGCAAAAGCACCAAAGACGGGGAAAATCACAAGGTCACAAGACATCTCAAAAGCCTCACAATACGAGTTATCCCAATACAGGCTCACCAGATTGTAAATGGAGCGCCGCCAGCTCGCGGTTAGCTGCCTGCCTCTCAGACACAGCTCTTTGCCCAGCTTGACAGGGAGTGAGCCTCACCCATCCCATTCTCCCAGTCTTCCTGGGCTCCCTCCTCCCAGGCTTCCCCTAAAGGGCTGGGACTGCGTCATTTTCCCAGGAACCGCAGTGCCTAGCCCAGGATAACTGTAGATTAAAGCGGCAGAGCTGGTTAGTGGTAACGGTGGTGGGTCCTTGGGTTCGCAGCTGAGCTACTCCGGGGACTCTGAGCAAGGAGCAGCCTCGTCTCACCTCTCCCCGTCACTGGGAGGGCCACTTGGGTCTCGCTGAGCCTGGAGGCCAGGCTCTCTGCTTTATTCTTTCACCCCTGAGGCTCCATCGCTTAGCTCAGTGCTGACTCAGTCCAAAGGACTCTGCCCTCAGGACCACTGCTCTTGCAGTGAATAAAGTTTTACATTCCCAGCTCTTAATGTTAAATATTAGCGAATGTGACATGTTATATTTTTCCCTAGGGGTGAAGCTAAATTACTTTTTACTTGTATGTGGGCTTCAAATGATTCCTAGTTAAGGAACAAAACTCCTCTTCTGGGCTAGAATATTTAGGACCACTAGATATGCATGTCCCAGGGCTTAATTCAGCATCAGAAAGCTTAACCAGGCTGACTAGTAGAGGTAATACTGCCAAGTCCTAGATAGTCACAGGTCGCTAGGGTACAGAAAAGTGGCAGAGAGAAGTAGGAAAGGGGAAAGGGGATGGGAAAGGGACCTACATGTATTAAGCACTAATATGTGCCACATGTTTAACAGTCTTTATTTTAGTTAATTGTCTCCTCTCTCTCACCTAGAGAAATAGGCTCCATCATCCTCATTTTACAGATGAGGAAACTGAGGCTTGGGAGAGGTCAATTAACTTGCCCAGAGTTGCGTGGCTAAGTTGGGACTTCTTTAGCTCTGGTCTCTTGATTTCTTTCCTCCTTTCTTTCTTTCTCTCTTTCTTTCTTTTTTTTTTTTTTTTTTTTTGAGACGGAGTTTCACTGTTGTTACCCAGGCTGGAGTGCAATGGCGCGATCTCGGCTCACCACAACCTCTGCCTCCTGGGTTCAGGCAATTCTCCTGCCTCAGCCTCCTGAGTAGCTGGGATTACAGGCACACGCCACCATGCCCAGCTAATTTTCTGTATTTTTCGTAGAGACGGGGTTTCACCATGTTGACCAGGATGGTCTCGATCTCTTGACCTCGTGATCCACCCGCCTCGGCCTCCCAAAGTGCTGGGATTACAGGCTTGAGCCACCGCGCCTGGCCTCCTTCTTTCCTTCTTTCAACGGAGTCTCGCTCTTGTTGCCCAGGCTGAAGTGCAGTGGCATGAACTCGGCTCACTGCAACCTCTGCCTCCCGGTTTCAGGTGATTCTCCTGCCTCAGCCTCCCAAGTAACTGGGATTACAAGCACTGCCACCATGCCTGGCTAATTTTTTGTATTTTTAGTAGAGATGGGATTTCACCAAGTTGGCCAGGCTGGTCTCAAACTCCTGACCTAAGGTAATCTACCTGCCTTGGCCTCCCAAAGTGCTGGGATTATAGGTGTGAGCCACTGCACCCAGCTGTCTTTTTTTTTTTTTTTTTTTTTTTTTTTTTTTTTTTTTTTGAGGCAGAGCATCCTTTTGTCACCTAGGTTGGAGTGCAGTGGTGCAATCTCGGCTCACCGCAACCTCAGCGTCCCAGGTTCAAGTGATTCTCCTGTCTCAGCCTCCTGAGTAGCTGAGACTACAGGTGCCTGTCACCACGTCCAGCTAATTTTTGTATTTTTAGTAGAGACAGAGTTTCACCATATTGGTCAGGCTGGTCTTGAACTCCTGACCTCAGGTGATCCACCTGCCTCAGCCTTCCAAAGTGCTGGGATTACAGGTGTGAGAGAGCCACTGTGCCCCACCTGGTCGCCTGATTTCAAAGCCTGCATGTCCTTCCTTGATGCCCTGCTGCATTGTCAGAAAACCAGGTGCCAGGCCAGGGCTTGCAAAGGGGCTGAAATGAAGCCAAACCAGAAGACAGAGTAGCCAGGACTCTAACAGGACAGAGCAGCCAGGACTTGGGCAGCAGCACCGTTGGGATTTGGGGGCTCTCCAGCCTGTCTGAAAGAGCCTAGGCTCGCTCTGCCTCATTGCATAGGTTCTCATATTATGATCTGGGGGCACGATGGGGAAGCCGGGGGTGGGAGAGGATGACTCACGCCCCTAAGAGTCCATAGGAGGCCTCTTCTCCTCACACCTGCAGAAACCAGCCTGGACACCAAGTCTGTGTCAGAAGGCCACCTCAAGAGGAACATCGTGGTGAAGACTGTGGAGATGCGGGATGGAGAGGTAAGGAGGGACCCGGGCCATCAGGGGCTGCCTGGCCCCCAGGATTCTCAAGGCCAGGCTGTGGATGAGAGCCTGGGGCTGGCACAGTAACTCCCAGGAGCTCCCCAGTGAATTCTGGAGGACAGCAAGGAACCTGGATGTAATTCCATTTCCCCAGCCCCTCCATAGGCTGTTCTAAGAGAAGCCTTGGTACCAAAGCCACTAGATGGGGTCCTAACTCAAACACTATCTCTTTCTCACCCTCACACTCAGGGGCCTGGCTTGCCAGGGACAGAAAGAGAGTTAAAGTTAGCAGCTTTCACTCCCAACTCTAGCAGAGACAGTCAGGGGATGGAGAGGGCTTTCAATTTCCAGCTTAGTAAAAGGAAACTACCAGGGGATGGGAAGATGGGATTTAGTGTATCCCCCACACCACTCCAGCTACAGCAGAAGCTCATCTTACTCCAGCAGCTTGCCTGCGCACCAGGCATGATGCTAAACGCTTTCCCAGCGTTCTCTCTCCACCCTCTCTGACCACTGTGCGAGGCAGTTGTGGTTACTGTCAAGAAAAGAAAGACCCTGGGAAGCGTGGGGACTTGCCCAAGGTTACACAGCCTTGCAGTGGTGGGCCTGGGGTCTGTGTGCACCTCTAATTGTCACACTGTGTATGTTCCCTGCCCCTGCAGGTCATTAAGGAGTCCAAGCAGGAGCACAAGGATGTGATGTGAGGTGGGACCCAGCTGGTGGCCTCTGCCCCATCGCATGAGGGGCTCAAGCAGGAGCAGGATAGTTGCTCCTCCTCTGCTGGCGCCTTTCCCCAGACCTGAGCCCCCGCCGCCCCAGCTGCTCCCCTCCCTCCTTGTCTCTAAGGCCAGCTAGCTGCCCTAGGCTCCGTCTGCATTAGGCCTGCCAGACAGCACCCACCCAGCACCCAGCAACTCCAACTAACAAGGCACTCACTCCCCAGGGGCAGTCTGGAGGGGCAGGGCCAGCAGCTTGGGTTAGAATGAGGAGGAAGGAGAGAAGGGGAGGAGGGCGGGGGGACCAGATACATCGCCCTCCACATCCCTGATCCCTGTTGTTATGGCAACTGTTGCCAGAGTTGGTGGTTCTCTCTGGGTATCTGGGAACTGTGCCTTTGAGTTTCCTCAGACTGCCGGAGGAAAACTGAGACTCAGGCAGGAGAGGGACGTCCCCACAGACAAGGTAGCCCTGGCCGGAGGCTTGTTTTGGTTTTTTGTTGTTTTTGAGGCAGGGTCTCCCTATGCTGCCCAGGCTGGCCTTGAACTCCTGGGCTCAAGCCATCTTCCCACCTCAGCCTCCTGTATAGCTGGGATTACAGCCTCAAGCCACCATGCCCAGCTCAGAGGGTTATTCTTCTAGACTGACCCTGATCAGTCTAAGATGGGTGGGGATGTCCTGCCACCTGGGGCAGGCACCTGCCCAGATCCCAGAGGAACCTCCTGAGCCATGACTCAAGTGTCTCAGGCCCCCTGAGCTGCCATCCAGGGAACCCGTCTGTGGGCACACTGTACACAGGTGGGAGCTTGATTCTCAGCACTTGGGGGATCTGTAGTGTATGTGGAGAGGGATGGGGTGCTGGGAGGGATAGAGGGGGGCTGCCTGGCCCCCAGCTGTGGGTACAGAGAGGTCAAGCCCAGGAGGACTGCCCCGTGCAGACTGGAGGGGACGCTGGTAGAGATGGTGGAGGAGGCAATTAGGTCGGCGCTAGACATCCAAGTGGGGGTTGTGGGTGACCAGTTGCACTTGGCCTCTGAGTTGTGGGAATTAAGAAAGTGACTCATCCTCTTGAAGATGCCGAAACAGGAGAGAAAGGGGATGTATCCATGGGGGCAGGGCATGACGTTGTCCCAGTTCTAAAGGCCTTTTCCTTGCTGTGTCATCCCAGGCCGCCCCAGCCTCTGAGCCCCTGGGACTGCTGCTGCTTTACCCCAGTAAGCCACTGCCACACGCCTGACCGTCTCCACCCCAGAGCGACCAGCTGCTTTTCCCTAAGCCAGGGGCCTCTTGCGGTCCCTTCTTACTCCCGTGCAAAATGTATCCAGTATTTTAGGTAGCGCCCTATTTTACAATTTGTAAAACTGAGGTGCGAGCAAAGTGAAGATACTGGCTCATATTCCTGCAGCCTGGAGGCCGGGTGCTCAGGGCTGACACGTTCCCACCCCAGTGCACCCACTCTGCTTTAACTGGGCAGACTGGTGGGCAGACTGGTGGGATCTGTGCCCAGAAATGGGACTGAGAGGGCCCACTTCAGGGTTCTCCTCTCCCCTCTAAGGCCGAAGAAGGGTCCTTCTCTTTCCCCAAGACTTGGTGTCCTTTCCCTCCACTCCTTCCTGCCACCTGCTGCTGCTGCTAATCTTCAGGGCACTGCTGCTGCCTTTAGTCACTGAGGAAAAATAAAGACAAATGCTGCGCCCTTCCCCAGAGTGGACTCTGATCTGTTCATGAGCGGGAGGGACTGGGGCCGAGACTTAACCTCGACAAGACCAACTCACTTCTTATTAGCGATCATCTCTGGAGCCCACACCCTCACCAAACGCCACACCCAGCCCAAGAGGACTTACACTAGCTCCCTCCGCTCTATTCTGCCTTCCTCTCCCTGCTACCAGCAACTCAACCAGCACAATCCTCAGAGGCAAGAAAGTAAAACAGCTCAAAGACGATTCAGCACTGATCAGTGTTTACCACTGGACAAATATGAGTTCACTCCTTTCTCTGACCTAAGTGTGAAGTCAGAAAACACGCACGCCCTGGCTAGTTCTATCCTGACCTCAGTCCCCAATCTCCCACCAGCCTCAGGCCCCTCCACTTCTTAGCTCAGGCCCCAGACCTGCCCATGAAAATGGGCACAGATTTGTCCACATGTCCCTACCACAAGTCCCAGCCCAGGGTACCCACCAGAGACATCTGGTATCATTTAACAAACACATTGAAGGACAACAGGTCTTCAGAACTGGGGAGAGAGAAATCCTAGGGGGAGAAGTTGGGACAACAGCTAAATAAGTAACAGCAGCAATGACAGAGGTGAACGGTGACAAAGACTGCTGTGATGAGCAAGTAGCCTATCAGGGTGAGCTCCACGGCTGAGCGAGTCTCAGGATCCGAGAACGAGGCTGGGTAGCGCCCACGAGATGTCACACCCAGCCGGAAGCCAGCAACCCGCACACCCTGCCTCCAGCAATAGTAGATGCCCCGGTCACCCAGCTGGGTGAAGCGGATGTGGAGCTGGTTGCCGTGGTCAATGAACACCCTCATGGACCTGTTGACACCCTTCAGGTACTGTGTGCGGTAGAGGTGCTGGCCGTCTTTGTCCCAGGCCACCGCATGCTCTGGCCGGGCCCCGGGACAGGAGATGATGAGCCCATGGCCCAGTCTCTGCTGATGGAACTGAATAGGCACCTGGGGCACCCAGGGCCGGCTGCCCACCTTTGACACATAGTTAACGATGGCCAGGATGCCCCCCCGGATGGTCTTCTTCTTCTCACAGGGGACCATGCAGCTCCGAACCAGCAGCTCAGGCGTGTGGTCCCTGGCCTTGGTCCGCAGCTTCCTCGGCACAGCCCTTGAGCCACAGGACACCACGTCGGGCACCGCCTTGAGGTAGCGTGGGGAGAGGTCTGGGCTCTGCAGGTAGCAGAGGCCAATGCGCCACTGCTCCCCACGCACCCCGCAGCGGTCACAGGGGGTCCACTCCCAGAAGGTGGTGAAGACACGGAGGCGCCCGTAGTACTCGTCTGCGAAGGGCTCCTGGCCCTCGTCCTGGAAAGTGGCCACCATTCCCTCGCTGCTCTGGATGTCCACATCGTAGGCGTAAAAGTAGTCCCCCTTGCGGGTGCCGCAGAAGTACAGGCCTGAGTCCTCAGGCTGGGCCCTGAAAACCAGCAGGCTGAACATGCGGATGCTGAAGCGGGTCAGCATGTCACTGCCCACATGCACCTGGGCCGCCTCCGTCAGCACCCGCCCATCGAAGTCCGTCAGCACTTTGGTGTGGCTGCTACCCAGGTGCTTTTGATAGAACCAGACTACAGCCAGCACCTCCTCAGGCTTGCAGTGGCAGGGAAGCTCAAAGCTCATGTCGGCCAGGTAGGCTGCATTTTCAAACATCAGGAAAGCGGGGCAGGGGGTCTTCTGAAAAATGTTTTCCTTCTCCACAATTTCAAAGGCCTGGAGACTCCCCCATGCCCACAGGAGCACAGTGGTGAGGGCCAGGTGCATGCCTGAAGGAGGGAAGGGTCAGAGGTGCAGGGCAAAACCGATGTATTAAAGGCTCATGGGGCTCCTAGAAAGCACTGCTGAGCCGAGGCCCCTGGATGAGGAAAGGATTATGCAGCCAGGAAAAGCAGCAACAATCTGCAGAGGGAGCAGCCAAGTACAAGGCAATTTATGCCAAGTGGATATTATATTATATATTATATATGCCCTTCTAACATTCCAGACCCGATCTCAGTCGGCGGGGCGGGGGGACCATTCTAGAACTTGGCCTTCACTCCCCTTTCTAGAACACTGGCACTCACTCAAGAATGGGTCAAAGGAAACCGGAATGAGAAGGGCAGGTGTAAGTGCATGGGCAGGGAAATCTCTGCCTCTGTGCTCCAGGCCCTGCCCTGTGGGCCTGGTGGAAAAGTCTTCCCTTTTGTCAAACTGGAGGATGAAGGAAACCCACCGTCCTGCATATCTGGCCATCCGAGAGGCTGGCTGGACCGGGGCTGATGGCTTAGGGCCTTCCCAGGCTCAACCTGCACAAGAACTGAGCCTCTAGGGGAAAATTCAACAACTCAAATGAGGTAGCATTTGATCATTTGTTGATTAAATGTTCATTTATTGGTTTGGGACTATAAACATTCTTGTTAAGAGCTGTGATGATCAGTGTTTGTTTACCATAAAGATTTTGCTTTTTTGTTTTTCTGAGTGGAGGCTGTAACAGGTACAGCCAGCATTTGGTTGGGTACACACTCATCTCTCAGGGCCAGTAGGCTAGAGGCTTGGCAGACTCTATGGATGGGAAACAAAACTGCTTTCAACTTCCTGAACTCTTGATTGTCCCGTGGATACACACAGTTCAAAATATCGAGACAATGAGGGGCTAGAGAGTGGGAAACTAGATTCCTGTTTTTGCTCTGAAATTTCCAAGTTGAGACAGGAACTAAGTATGGGTTTCTTATTACGGTCCTGCAGAACCCCAAGACAACAACCAAAAACTGCCTTCCATGACCACCGGGACCTCTGAGGGTACCTGGTCACATCAGTCAACCTGGTACAGCCCCAGCAGCTCCTGTAGGAGCCTCTCCTCCTCTTGGAGCCTATCAGACTGCTCCTCCAGACCCTGCTCCTCCCAGCTGAGCCCCTCCTTCATGGGTCTGGGGGGACCCATGGTTTGCAGCTTCTGAAACAAGCTCTTGCATCTCTCTCTCTCCACGTGGCTCAGCAGGCTCAGGTTCAGGGTGAAGCGCCCGGTGGTCGCCAGGCTGCGTAGGATCCCCAGCACTGCTGCCCGGTCAGCTGGCCCCACATGATCAGCCAGTGCCACCAGCAGCTCCCCGAGAAGCCCAAACCCCACATCTGTCTGGAAGAGGCAGCCCAGCTTTGGACCCCCGAGCTGCAGCAGAGCCTGGTAGCGCTCTGGCCCACTCCGCAAGCGTCGTCGCCAATCACGGTAGAAGTCAGCAGCGGTCTCGGGCTGGAGGGGGGTTTTCTCCTGCATCACAAAGGAAGGAAAGGGAGTCAGGAGCTCTTCCAGCTGCTCTGCAACAGTGAGAGTGAGGGGAGCCTGCAGGTCTCCATCTTAGTTCAGTTACTCTCTGAGCACTGGGAAGATTTTGGTCCTTGGAGGCCTCATTTTCAGCTGAGGGAACTGGGGATGACACGGGGTTGGGGGTCAAGGAATCCATGTCATGATTTGAGATTCTCATTTATACTGGAATTTCCTACTCATGAATGGAGACATAGCTCTAGTCTTCAAGAGTAAATCAGGGTTTACTGTAAGCCATGTGGATGGGTTGACTGGAAATCTCAGGAAGAGAGAAAGGAACTCAAGTGAGTGTGAAGGATCTGAATATCGGATCTCTCTCTCAACACTGCACAGAGGATCATTACACTAGACACCATGCAATTCAGAGGCAGAGCAACCCAAACGTGATCTGAGAGTGAAAGTCAAAGAACTAAAGGAAGGTCCCCTTCCCTAGCCCACCTTTCTGACTCATTCTGCCCAGTTCGACTCAGCTTCACCATCTGCTTTTTGTTTTTCTTTCAGGGATTGGAGGCAGAAACCTGTCTCTGTTGGCTTAACATGATAAATAAAGAAGAGGCATGTGTGGTTAAAAAACAAACAAACAAACAAAAAACAGGGGCTGGACACAGTGGCTCATGCCTGTAATCCCAGCACTTTGGGAGGCCGAGGCAGGTGAATCACGAGGTGAAGAGATCGAGACCATCCTGACCAACATGGTAAAACCCCACCTCTGCTAAAAATACAAAAATTAGCTGGGCGTGGTAGTGCACCCCTGTAGTCTCAGCTACTCAGGAGGCTGAGGCAGGAGAATTGCTTGAACCTGGGAGGCGGAGTTGCAGTGAGCCACAGTCGTACCACTGCACTCCAGACTGGAGACAGGGCGAGACTCCGTCTCAAAAAAAACAAACAAACAGGATTGAAGCTTTAGGACAGAGAATCCTGCTGGACTAAAGAGGCAGGGTCTCACCTACCGGGGAGATTTCAGTGGCCGCATCCTGGAAAGTCCTTCCCTGAATAGTGTGACAGTTCCAGGGCACAGCTCTCTTTCCTCCCATCCTATCCTTCCGCTCCAGTGGCTTCAGATGTGATGCAAGGACAATACCCCTGGGGGCAAAGGACAGAAATTAGGTAATGGACTTAATGCTGTGTCTGTGGGCGTAAGATAGCTAGACTTTGCATGGTATAGGATGAACTTGTTGACAGACCAGTACGACCATAATGATAATAACAGTAACAACAGCAGTGATAGCTGACTGCTCTCAGGCACTTCACACATGTCAGACGCTTGTAAGAACTCATTTAATTATAATAACACTTAGGTTTTACAGATAGATAATTGAGTTTCAGAGAGGTTAAGGAAATTGCATAAGATCAAACAGTAGACGGTGGGGCCAGGACTGAAGCAGGACTGATCAAACAGAATGGTTTGATTTCAGAGTTAACTACTACAGTCCAAGATAACGGGAGGGCCTGAGAAAAATGGCAGTGAGCCAACCTGAACTCCTCATAGGAAGCCACCCTCTGTTCCACTGCCCGTAACTTGGCAGCATTCTCCCGTTTGTACTTCTCATCTGCAGTGAGTGCAGCCTGCAGCTCTTTCTCCAGAGCCTTGAAGTCGATGGTGTCATTCCTTTCCATGGCCTGTACCTGGGAAGGCAAAAGAAATGCACGTCAGCGGAGGGTCAATATCGGGGGAAAGAGGGTGTCTCTGGATTATTCGCCAGAACACAAAATGACCTCAAAGCACTCTGGACATCATGTCACTCATATTGGGAGGTGTTACAAAACTCTGGTTTTCTACTTTACAAAGACAAGCTGAATTTCACAGTGAGGACTTACACAAGACTTGCCCCTTAAAACAGAATAGAGTCCTGACTGAATTTGGAGCTCTGTCTTGATTTTTCTCTCTGCCTCTAAAAATACTTTTAATTTTGGTGCTTCAGCGGAGGAGGCATTTGGATCTCAGGATTCATTTCCTTCACTCTTGCACATAGGCTTGTTCTGCAGCAAGTCGTTTAGACAGGGGACCTCACACAAAAGCAGAACTCTTGTTAGTTACCCTGGAGCTGAAGATAACGTTTCATTCTCATTAAATCTCTTTAATGGGGAAGGAGACTTTCACCCAAACCAAATGCAATGACTGAGCAGGAAATCAAGTAGAAGGGGCAGAGGAAGGAGCTCAATTATCCAATCCCCAAAGCCTTCTGTCCAGCCCAGGGCTCACTGTGTTGCCCAGGATAAAGTGCAGTGGCACGATCTCGGCTCACTGAAACCTCTGCCTCCCGGGTTCAAGCAATTTTCGTGCTTCAGCCTCCCGACTAGCTGGGACTACAGGCCTGCGCCACCACGCCCAGCCAATTTTTGTATTTTTAGTAGAGATGGGGTTTCACCATATTGCCCAGGCTGGTCTCCAACTCCTGACCTCAAGTGATCTGCGCGCTTCGGCTTCCCAAAGTGCTGGAATTACAGGCGTGAGCCACCGCGCCCGGCCTGCAGAGAGATTCTCTACGTGGCTTCTACTCAGGGCTCTGGCATTTACTTGCGGGACCTCCCTGAACTGCAGATTCCTGGTGAGTTGAGCTAGATTTTGTGGCAGAGTCATCACGAACAGCCCTAGCGCAAGGAAGCAGGAGGTCCTCAACTAATCCCATAGCCACCCTACCCCAAAGTGGGGAATCTGAACGCCAAGAAGGGGCTGGGCTGGTCAGTAACCGAACTCAGGTGTCCAGTTCTCAGCCCTCCCCAGACATTTAATAAGTAAAACTAACCCTTCGCCCCCTTAACGAGCCTCCCGGACCTTCACCCCAACAGCTTCGGCCTTGGTCCCCTTCCTTTCTTTGGGGATCCCCTGATAAGCCAGAACAGGAGGGCAGCCCAGCACAGACCACGCCCCGCAGCTGTGGTTGCCCAGCAACTGCTCTAACAGCCTAACCATGTGATCTGCCCGAAGGCCCCCCTTTCCGGGTGGTCCCGAGGCGCCTGATCAGATTCGTCTGTCCTCAGGTCTCACCCTTTTTAGAGCAGCCCACGTCTTAGGCTACTCGTCTTGGGGACCCGCTGCTCCGCCGTGCCGGTTCCTGTCTGCGCGGCGGGCATACCTCGAAACTGGTCCTCAGGCAAAGGGTTGTCCTCCCGGGCAGAAAGGCGACTGCGGCGTCTCCGGGGTCCTTCCTGGCGGCGGGCGCAGACGTTTGCTTGGCGTGGGGCGGAAGCGCGGTATTCCGCTGCGGCCTAGGAACGCTTAGCTGAGCAGGCGGGAGGTAAGCTAAAGCAGGTTTGCGGCACGGAAGGGTTGTTCCAGGTGGGATAGGAAATTAAAGAGCGTCAGATATGGAAGAGGTCTTATATGCTGTCTGCCCCTTTCGCTTTACGGATGGGTAAATTGAGGCCTGGAGTGGGAAAAAGAATGGAAGACCCTCTCCGCGTGCCTCCCCCAGGCTTCCGAAGCGCGCACACCCGCACACACCTCGATTCCGGGGCTGCCTCTATAGCCTCCGTCCGTAAAATCGCATCCCTCGGAAGGAGCGGTGCGCTAACTGTCCAGTCCCCTCCCTCACTCCCTCTTCCATTTGTGCCGCCTTCAGCCCTTCTATGCCAGGTTCCCTCCGGCGTTCCCTTTGAGCGCCTCTATCATAGCGGGAAGCCGCAGTGAGGTTTGTTTCCATGAGTCGCTAGTTTTGTGGAACTGGGCAAATCAGCTGCATTCTTTGTTTTTTGTTAGAATCATTTATTCGTTCAACAAATGCTTATTAAGGGCTTGTTCTATGCTAGGCACTGTGCTAAGTGAACAAAGTCCTTACTTAAATTGTAGTTGGGGAAACGAACAGTAAACAAATAACTACATATGTGTCAGCTAGTGATAAATGTATAACTTAAGAATATAATAAAACAGTGAAAGTGGGGGGTTGAGTATGTTTGAGGGACTTAGAATGACAGAGAAGGTGACATTTTAGTGGATACTTGATCGAAATAAAGGAACAAGGTGGAAATATCAAAGGGAAGAGTGTTTTGGACAAAGAGAATGGCAAGTGCCACGGCCGTGAGGCAGCAATGAGCTTGGCTTGTTCCATGAACAGCTTTCTACAAAAATGTCTTCAATCGGCCAGTCACGGTGGCTCACGCCTGTAATCCCAGAACTTTGGGAGGCCGATGCAGACAGATAACCTGATGTCAGGAGTTCAAGACCAGGCTGACCAAAACGGTGAAACCCCCCTCTCTACTAAAAATACAAAAAAAATTAGTCAGGTGTAGTGAGTGGTACACGCCTGTAGTCGCAGCTGTTCTGGAAGCTGAGGCAGGAGACTCGCTTGAACCCACAAGGCAGAGGTTGCAATGAACCGAGATCATGCCATTGTACTCCAGCCTGGGCAACGAGAGGGAAACTGTGTCTCGATAAATAAATAAATAATTTCTTCAGTCAATTGGGGTCTTGGGAGAATGAGGTAAGCATAAATGCAACAGTAGCTTTTTGGAAGTAAAAAGAATCACTATACAGGTGAAAGTTTCCATAATAATTTACGTTTAATTACTGGTCCTTGGAGCTTTAATTCTCTGTCTACATCGAGCACCCAGCAGGTGGCATTGAGGGAGATGGAGGTATCAGTCTAATGCAAGAAATATCAGCATCTTAAATTTTTTTTTTCTTTTTTTTTTAATTTAGAGGTGGGGTCTCTCCATGTTGGCCAGGCTGGTCTCCAACTCCTGACTTCAGGTGATCTGCCCACCTCAGCCTCCCAAAGTGCTGAGATTACAGGCATGAGCCACCGAGCCTGGCCCAGCATCTTAAAATTAAACATCCCATTCAGTTAACATTTATCCAGTTCCTGTTTACACAAGTCTTGGCCACTGGCTGTGTTAACATTGGTACTTTTTGCTCAACTATTTAAAAATGTAAAATATGGCCAGGTGTGGTGGCCCATGCCTGTAATCCAAGCACTTTGAGAGCCCAAGGCAGACAGATCACCTGAGGTCAAGAGTTTGAGACTAGCCTGGCCAACATGGTGAAACCCCATCTCTACTAAAAACAAAAATTAGCCAGGTGTGGTGGCACACACCTGTAATCCCAGCTACTTGGGAGGCTGAGACAAGAGAATTGCTTGAACCTGGGAAGTGGAGGTTGCAGTGAGCTGGTATGATGCCACTTCACTTTAGCCTGGGCAACAGAGTTAGACTCTTTGTCTCAAAAAAATAAAAATGTGAAATGCATTCTTAGCTGCAAAAACAGGTGGAGGGGCCAGATTTGGCCACAGGTCAGAGTTTGCCAACTCTTGCCCTAAAGTATTAGGTGAAAAGGCATTGTGTCAGCAGCTTACTGTCAAATCATTTGGGAAAAAGAAAGTTATTTGTACTGTTCTTGCCACCTTTTGGTATTATTTTAAAATTAAATTTAGTTTCAGAAAAGAAGTGAAGGGATGAAGTGGGTACATGGAACACAAGGTTCTCATGTTCAAGAATGGCAAAAAATGATGCCAGCTTAAGTTTGTTGAGCCTGGGTCTCTGCCACATTCCTTACACAGTGTGATTCATTTAATTCTCAACCATTTATGCAGTGAGGATTATTCCTTCTATTTTCCAGTTGAGGGATATGTTCGGAGAGATGCAGTAACTTATCTGAAGTCACGTAGCTGTTAGTAACAAAGTTAGGATTTGAGTCTAAGTCTTCCGACTCCAGATCCCTAATGCTCTAGTCTGTTATTTATTGCTTGTAAACTATAGTTGGTGATGGTAATTAGTACAGTCAACTACTATTTAAGACACAATTAAATACTGATAAAAGTGGAAAAGGCTTTAGTAGGATAGGGGAATGAGAAATTGAAGAGCTAGGAAAGCTTGAAGGAGGTGGCATTTGAAGTGTTTCTTTGAATAGAATTTCAATACCTGAGGTTGAGAAAACCCACAAAACACTTCTTAATTACAAGGGGAAAATGAGTAACTTTACAATGTCGCACCTGGCAAACTTTAATGAAGTGATCAAAGTTACCATTACCACTAATGGGGCAAATTGAAATCATGTATCACCTGATAGGAAACGCACTGAGAACACAGCATCACTTCTATTATATTCCTATCCAAAACACATAACCTGAACGTCATCATAAGATAACATCAGACAACCCCAAATCAAGGGACATCCTTAAGGATGTCAAGTCATGACAGTCCTTGGAAGGAAAGACTGAAGAACTGTTGGAGATTGAAAGAGACTGAAGACATGGGCTGGGTGCGGTGGCTCACGCCTGTAATCCCAGCACTTTGGGAGACCGAGGCAAGTGGATCACCTGAGGTTAGGAGTTCGAGACCAGCCTGGCCAACATGGTAAAACCCTATTTCTACTAATAATATAAAAATTAGCTGGGTGTGGTGCTGCAAGCCTGTAATCTCAGCTAATCCAGAGGCTGAGGCTGGAGAATCACTTGAACCCGGGAGGCAGAGGTTGCAGTGAGCAGAGATCGCGCCACTGTGCTCCAGCCTGGGCAACAAGAACAAAACTCCATCTCAAAAAAAAAACAACAACAACACATGACAACCAAAGGCAAACTTGATCCTGGATTGGATCCTTGGGCATGTAAGATACTGGAACAATTTGTAAAACTTGAATGGGATCTGTAAATTAGGTGGTAGTAACGTGAATATTAATTTTCTGATTTGGATGGTTGTATTGTGGTTATGTAGGAGAATATTCTTGTTTGTAGCAATCACACATGCTGAGGGAGAGGTTGGCAAACTTTTTCTATTAAGGACTGGATAATATTTTAGGCTTTTGTGAGCCATATGGTTTCAGTCCCAACTACTCAACTCTGCTGTTACAGTGTGAAGGCAACTGTAGATGATGTAAATAAATATGCATGGCTGTTTTCCAATGAATTTTTTTTTTTTGAGATGGAGTTTCATTCTGTTTCCCAGGCTGGAGTGCAGCGGCACAATCTCGGCTCACTGCAGCCTCCGCCTCCTGGGTTCAAGGGGTTCTACATCAGCTTCCAGAGTAGCTGGGATTACAGGCATGAGCCACCATACCCAGCTAATTTTTGTATTTTCAGTAGAGACGGGGTGTCACCATGTTGGCCAGGCTGGTCTCAAACTCCTCAGGTGATCCGCCCATCTCGGCCTCCCAAAGTGCTGGGATTACAGGTGTGGGCCACCGTGTCTGGCCTCCCAATGAAACCTTTTTTTTTTTTTTTTTTTTTTTTGAGACAGAGTTTCGCTCTTGTTACCCAGGCTGGAGTGCAATGGCGCGATCTCAGCTCACCGCAACCTCCGCCTCCTGGGTTCAGGCAATTCTCCTGCCTCAGCCTCCCGAGTAGCTCGGATTACAGGCATGTACCACCATGCCCAGCTACTTTTTTGTATTTTTAGTAGAGACGGGGTTTCACCATGTTGACCAGGATGGTCTCGATCTCTTGACCTCGTGATCCACCTGCCTCGGCCTCCCAAAGTGCTAGGATTATAGGCTTGAGCCACCACGCCCGGCCTATGAAACCTTTTTAATAGACACTGACATTAGAATTATTTATAATTAATTTTTGTGTGTCATAAAATATTTTTGTTTTTTTCTTTGAGATTTTTTTTCTTTGAAATATTTTTCTTTGATTTTCTTTGATTCTTAGCTTGAGGGCCATGCAAAAAGAGGTGGAGGGCCAGATTTGGCCACAGGCCAGAGTTTGCCCACTCTTACACTGAAGTATTAGGACGGGCGTCCCCAAATTTTTACGCAGGGGGCCAGTTCACTGTCCCTCAGACCATTGGAGGGCCGCCACATACTGTGCTCCTCTCACTGACCACCAATGAAAGAGGTGCCCCTTCCTGAAGTGCGGGGGGCGGGGGGGGGGGCGGAGCAGATAAATGGCCTCAGGGGGCCGCATTCGGCCCACGGGCAGTAGTTTGGGGACGCCTGTATTAGGAGGTGATGCGACATT